TCAAATTATATTCTTTGTTTAAAAATATATGTATATGATACAAAGACTATATAGGAGAATGTAGACTTTTCGTTTGCTCACACGCTAACTTCAAATATGATACTAATAATAATAATAATACATTTATGTATACACACGTTACACAAGAGGAAAAAGTCTGTTAACTAACTACAGGTTGGTACACAAGGATAAAATTAAGTACTTGGGGATTTCAACTCGCAATTTATATTTAAAATTTACGAATGAATACGCGTTTGGTACTTAGCACGAAATCACTTAGAAAATTAAGACTCCAAATCAGGTTCATTTTTGTCTTTTTCGCGGGTTTGACTATGGTTTGACTTTTGAAACACCATAAATTGGTAGCATATATGAAAAGGCTCGCCCAATTTCATCACATTCAGCTCAACTGTTTAGTACTAAGACTTTTTAATATAGGCATCCTTACAAGTTAAAAACTGGCTTTGTACATAAATTTTGACAGAATGACATATTTTATGGAGTTAATATAACTGATTAAAATCAAACATTCATCACAAATTGGAGTTAATATGCAAATTTTCCATTTGATAGGAAATTATCATATATCGTCTTTGATAGGAAAGTAATTGGAAATTAATTTACAACATCCTAAACACATAGCAAATGACATATTAAATTGGTTTTGCGACTATTTTGGGCTTTCCAGAAGTTGAAAATTCAGAAAAATTCTCAAAATTATTGTAACAATATATTGTATTGTTCCTCGATTGTAGTATTGTTGTAAAAAAAAAAAAAAAATGCTGTATTTTGGGGCAACTTGCAATAAATTATTGATATCGTTATTCCATTTTAATAAGAAGAGCGTGTTTCAACAGCATAATATATCTTTTGGTTCGTGTTTCATACTTGTTTTTGGGGCCATTTTATTGAATTCACATACCTCATACCATACAAACTACTTAAAAAATATCGTTTTCTGACATTTATTATATTTTTATGCATTATGAGTGATATATTGTGAAATTTGGCCATAGTTATCGTTTGATTATGCACCATCTTGTTTGATTTATTAATCTATGATAGAGGTATCATTGTCGTTGATTTTGCAGGAAATATGTCTGAAAAAACGTTGAAAAGGAAATCGGGACGGAAAATGGCGAAAACGGAGTGCAGAAGAGGCCTCACACGACTCGTGTGACCCGGTCGTGTGGCTGCTCATGTGAGTCTGGAAGTTTGGCGAAAATTAGAGGAAAGTCACACGACTCGTGTGACATGTGACACGACTCGTGTGACGCGCAGATCAGTTCAGCGGGGAATAGGATTCTTACGCGATTTCTTCCTTTTTTCGACCCACAATTGCCCTACAGTATAAAACAGAATTGAGAAACTCGATTTTAGGACTTTTGACACCATTGGAGACCTAGAGAAAGCACGAAATACACGAGGGATTTGAGGAAGTCAAGATTGAAGATTCGGGAACTAACGGCGACAATAGTTCTTCTTTCTTTTCTCCTTTTCTTCTTCATTGAACTCATGGATTTATTTATTTTGAGTTTTGAGAATATGTTTAGTAGCTAAACCTTTTAGGGATTCTAGGATTTGTGAGTACTCGAATTATTTTATGAAGTAATTTCGTTTATTCAATCTTGTTTATCATTCGTTTATCAATTTCTTGTGCTTATATGAATTGTGTGAATATAGGGCCCGTATTTATGCATATTTGTGATTGACTTGAGACCAATAGTAGATAGTTGATTGCTAGAATTGAGAAATTCATAACGTAAGAGACTAAACAGACCAAGAGCTTGATAGAATCTTGCGAGAGAACTAGAATCTTAAGAGTTTATGGGAGTTAGTTGTTCATCTTGAGACTGAGAGGAGATATATAACAATTAATATCTACGATTTAATTTGTTCAAGAGAAAAATGTAAATTAATTAGCGAATATCCCTACGAATTGAAGAATTAAATAAGGTTTGAATAAATAAGAAATCTTTGCTAGAATAATTCCGAGAAAATCATAGCCTAGAATCTATTTTCTCATTCTTGATTATTTTAGAACAAGCCTTCATTAGTGTTAGAATTTATTTTGCAATCATTCATTAGTTTAGAATAAAATCACCATTCAAATTTGCACTAGTCTAAATAATATTTAAAAGAAATCGTCTACATTTTGGTACTTAATTATTTTAACAACAATCTCTGTGAAATACGACCTTATTCGCCGCTTATTATAGCTACACCGTACACTTACGGGTAGTGAAAATATTTTACGAACATTTTCTCAACCAATTTCCTTTAGGAAATAACTCTTTGAGCCTTGTGAATGACTCCCTCAACAAGTCATTAATAAATTGCTATATGGGCACATATTTCAAATAAATTTATTTTAGAGACATGTAAATAAACTAATTATATGACTTATAAATTGTACAATTTGATGACTTCATAACAAAATTGTTCTTTTTTGTTAGCATACTAATTAGTACGAATCTCGTGCGTTGCACGAGTAAGAGATATTAATTAGTATTTATAATTAAAAATGCTCATATTTAATATAAGTCATATTTGATATTCGTTAGTATTTATAATTGTTCTTTCGTGATTACGTACAAATTTTATACATGTAATAGAAGTCATATTTGATCAGATATCAGACAAATGCCATTAAATTGACCGCAATACGTGGCATAAATATGAGAAACATTCTATACATGTTAGCCCTAGTGTTTGACTTGTACAAATATGAAACTGATTTTTGCAATTCGAATTCACAATATGATCGCCAGTTTTTAAAAATATTTATAAAAAATTACTAATAAAAGTAAAAATAAATTATTTAGGCAGGATTTTTACATCTAGTTAAGGTAAATTATATAGGATGTGGTTCAAATGAACCAAGTCCTAGCGTGAGAAACGTGAGAACCGCTATTTTTAATTGTATGAAGTGCTATGATTGATTGTATTTAGTGCTATTTTTAATCAGGATGTATTTTATTAAAAATAGCAACTTAGCATTTGTAAAAATGATAGCACCATGTAAGATTAAAAATAGCATCATACACAATTAAAAATAGCATCAAATATGGTTCTCACGGTTCTCACACCAGAAAAAGTTTTTATTTGAACCACTCCCAATTATATATACATATATATATAGAGATATAGATAAGGCATTTTACGCATAGAATATATTTTTTAGATTTTATTTTGCAAGAATACGACAATAAAAATAATATGTATATATATTATTAATGAAATCTTTGTGAAAAAAAATATATCTCACCCTTTGAGAATTGCAACACATTATGAAGCGATGCAAAAGCTTAAAAATGAAATCTTAAACGAGAGTTCATAAACAAAACTTAAGTGAAGCAAGTCTTAAAAATAATAGGGTAGACATTTAGATCAGACACAGCTAGACAACAAGAGCAAAAAGAATAACCCTGCAATATTTTGTGTCAGCATCGAAGAACAATGCATGGAATAAAAACTATTTTAATGTGACTAAGTATATTTTACTCTACCAATTATATAGTAAAAGCATGTTAACAGTGATGTTCTTTTTCAATTGGCAATCCCAAAAAAATTGCAACTTAAAGTACCAACAATTTCAATAAAATTCAAAGGCTATTAAACCGCACAATTATTAAAGAAAATAACAAATGACAACTTTCTGTTACAAAATTCTTTAAAAATTTTCAATCCAACTATGTCGACTAAATGGCAAATATGTTTAAATATTTTTTAACTTTATTTTTTTTTAAAAAAAAAAGAAGAAAACAAAAGATTTGAAAATGAACTTGGTAATTATCTTAAAATATAAAAATTAACATAAATATTGAAAGAAAAACATGAATAAAATACACAAACAACATATTTTCAAATAATTACAAAGGGAAGAAATGTACATGAACCAAGCACTATAACAAATCATTACCTCTAAGAGTGATAGGTGATTAAAAAGATAAGAAAAGAAATTTGAAATAAATTAAGCATCATAGCCATCAAACATTTTAAATGATTACTTATGTCAACTTGGAATTTCATTTTATTATTTGAATATATATCCAATTAATAAAAAAGAAAAGCTTACATAAAAAAAAAAAAAGAAAAAAGAAAAGAAAAACATCAGCAAGCTCTGAAACATGACTACCTAGACCAACTGAAATCGTGTCTAATATTTTAATTTTTTTTATTAAAATTATAAAATAAAAAAGGTAAAAAGAACTTGACAAAAATTTCAAAATTTGAAAATTTATATAAATATAGATATTTTCATAATACATCTAAACTGAGAAAAAGTTATTATGCAAAATCCTAAAATTTTCACTATGNAAAGTTATTCGTAATATGTGATAGTTTCTTTTAATATGTTGTGAAGGAACCAAAAAGAAATTCTAGGATTTTCAATTGGGAACAAAATATGAATTGGAAAAAATATCAATCGAGAAAAATCAGAAAGTAATGGGCTGGGAAAGAAAAAAAATTCAAAAATCATAAGGCAATGGGCTAAGAAAGAAAAAAATTTCAAACATTAAGGGCAGAATATCAATACAAACTTGCCAATACCACGTGTCAAAAGAAGCAATGTGTGAAGAATAAAAAATTAATATTTTATTTCAAACTTCTTTTAATAGACAATGGGTTAGGAAAGAAAAAAATTTCAAACATTACAAGCAAAAAGGTTAATACAAAATTGCCAATGACACATGTCAATAAATAGAAGCAATGTGAATAAAAAATTAATATTTTGTTTCTAACTTTATGAAATATATTAGATATAGAACATAGATATGTAAATATTAAATGAATAGTTGAGTGGTTGCAAATTGTTGGGGGGAAATATCAAATATGTGGTGATTCTGATTTGATATTTTCCGTATATGCCAAATTTGGTGTAAATGTTTGTGGTCATTAATTTATAACATGTACTACAATTTTTTCAATTTGTGAAGACACGGGTTCATATCTTTCTTACCTAAATTGCATTGTTATAAAAAAATAAAAATTATATTGAAAAAAAATAAAAATTAAATATAATTTTCAACCAAACAAATTCAATGTCTTATTTTTATTTATAAGGCAAAATACAAGAAAATTCAGGGAATTAATCAAATGACTCCAATTTAACTTGATTAATTTTTATTGAAGCTTGTTTAAAATGTATATATTATGTTTATTCATAACTAATAGTCTATCATCAAGCTGACAATAAATCGTATCTACAACTTCTCTCCCACTGGTCCGAAGGTTGCGGCTGAGAGCGGGCGGCGCGTGGCGCGTGACGCGTGACGCGTCTGATTCACATAAGCCGTCGCATATGCGACCGTCGATTTCCTTTCGAGGGTTTTGGCAATGCTGACGTAGCCATCTTGTAGTCAACGGCAATACGGAACTTACAGAAATCTCTCTACAATCCTACGCCATAAATGTGTTGAGCTTGAGCTCCTTCCATACAAATGGTATTGTTCTCATCGTCCTTTTACCATTCCTGTTCTCTTCGAAACCCCCGCCATCGGAATCACAGCAATACGACGCCGTCGCCTTCGAACCCTTGCTCGTCTTCCCCCTATTCGTCTCACCCTAATTCCTCGTACAGTCGCCCAGGGCGTAATTGGAATTTCATTACATTCTCCGGTAAAATCACTCGCTCCCCATGTTTTTCGCTTTCCCGTATTTGGTAAAGGAATAAAGTAGCTTTCACAATTTTTCTGTGTCATGTTTTGTACAAGAATTATGGCCAAGATTTTCACGATATTGATATATTTGTGCAAGGCGGTTGCGGAACTTCTGGTGTTTGGTATCTCGCCATTCTTTTTCTTTAATTTCATAAATTTTTATTTGAAATTGTTTGGGTTTGTGGAAAAATTTTTAGTTTTACCAGAACTTTTTGTATGTTGTGCCATGAGCTGAGTGAATTTCTAGATTTTTATGTCTTGAAGGTGCATTATATATTTTTTTTTTTCACTTTGTCAATGATATACTGGATTTTAGTTGAGGGTGTCTTTATAGTTTAAATCCTGCAGGAATAAGAAGTATCTGGAAGCACCAGAGCTTCAAAGCTCTAGCAATGACCACAACTGAAGGGAACTTTTCATCACCGAGGGCCATGGCTAAAGATGAAGTTAAGCCCGATCATCTACTTGTTCTTGTTCATGGCATCATGGGAAGGTATGCTGCATATCCATTGTACTTGGAATAAATGTGAAGGGAAATTATCACTAGATAAAATAAAAACCTCTTCAAATCAATGGATTTGTGTAGTCTGTTGTAATTGTGATTGAAATTTCGCAAGTTTTTCCGTGTATTGTTTGTAGCCCGAGCGACTGGACGTATTTTGAAGCAGAGTTGAAGAGGCGGTTAGGAAGAAGCTTCTTGATATATGGTAAGTGTTTGCTGTGTTCATGCTTTAGCTTCTTTGCTGACTTGTATGATATCATATTTTGCGTAAAATTGACATAAGGAATCATCAGCTTACTCTGAATTTGTTTTGATGTGACAAAATCTTGTTTTAAATTGCTGGATATAGTCGACCCAGTTCGTTTGCCATTTAGTCTTATCTGTAGCAGAAAAGAAGAGCTTAAGGGTGGAAACATAGACTTGTGTGCTGTTTTCTGGTGTTCTACAATGTGTTCTTTACCTTTTAAGTGATGGCCAATATTACTGATTCATCTAGATTTATACTATAGCTTATTTTTTGCAGCGAGTTCATGTAATACGTACACCAAGACATTTTCCGGCATTGATGGTGCTGGTAAACGCCTGGCTGATGAAGTAAGTTTGCATTTGTTATTATTAATAATGAAGTGTTTGCAATTTAATACTACATAAAATCAATTCTCAGCTTGCAGAAAAAAACTAGAGTAATCCTACCCCCACCTCGAAAGAAAAATAAACAAATCAGAAATTTCTTATTTTAGCTATATAATTTTACTGCTTATAAAATATACATTTATTAGATAAAAGTTTTAGATTATTTGATCTTGCTATTATTACCACCAGGTCACAGAAGTTGTGAAGAAGACAGAGAGCTTGAAGAAGATATCCTTTTTGGCACATTCTCTCGGTGGATTAATTTCAAGATACGCAGTAGCTGTTCTGTACACACCAAATATCGATCAGCCTAACTATATAACTACATCGAACTCAACAAATTTGGAAAAATCGTGCTCTTCAGTTAATGGTTTGATTGCTGGGCTGGAAGCAATCAATTTTATCGCGCTTGCTACGCCTCATCTTGGAGTGAGAGGAAACAAGCAGGTATTTTTTTTGTGACTCGTTTTAACAGATATCTTTGATTCATGAATTTAAAATAAAAGGTCTTCATTTATCTCTCCCATGTAGTTCAAATGAAAGTAATTAGTCATATATAGCCATACGGAAGGGTATTTTTGTAATTTTATCCTCTTGAATGATTCAGCTTCCGTTTCTTCTGGGAATGACTTTCTTGGAGAAACTTGCTGTCCCGGTTGCCTCGATTTTCGCTGGCCGTACGGGTCGTCAACTCTTCCTTACAGATGGAGATCCCGAAAATCCGCCTCTGTTATTAAGAATGGCCTCTGATTGTGAAGATGGAAAATTCATGCAAGTACATTATTATTCTTTATGTATAGTTATATATATATGATATGATATGCTCTTTCATCACCAAACTTTTT